TATTAGCTCATGGTTCTGTGGGTCAGGAATTTGGCCCACAGCTGGGCAATTCTTCTTCTGGTCCCACCGGGGATCCCTGCCGTCAGGGGCATCTTGGTGGATAGGAGGCTTCACTCAGAGCCTTGCAATGAGTGGGCTGCTGGAGAGGTCACCTGGGTCCTCCCCCAAGTGGCTTCTCCTGCCAGATAAACTGGAATCGTCATTGCCCTGGTGGAAGCAAACTCTGCATTTATAACATTTACCAAGTCCACTGGCCAATGCAGGTTATTCAAGACCAGCTTCAAGGAATGGAGAAGTGGACTTTACTTCTTGATGGAAATATCTGCAAAGCTGCTTTGCAAGGGGCATGCAAACAGGAATGAAAAGAATCTGTGGCCATCTTTTGCAACCTACCACACCTCTTCCTTCAAAATCCTCATATCAATACTTCTGCCATGGTGCCTTTTTGTTGAATTCTTATGTGCAGATGATTGGTTTTACAGTTTAAGCTTAAATTTAGTTTGGTTTTGGGGTGGGGAGAGATGGAGATACAATTGAAATAAACCCACTATTGCCTTTTAAACCATGTTTTATATTATATTTTTATAGTGTTCACATCATAATGTGAATGGCCAAGCCTGATTATGTATCAGACCAGTCTGAGTTTATATCAGTTTTGCCACTTACTGTGTGACTGTGGGAAAGTCACTTAATCACTCTGAGCATCACTTTCCTTCTCTGTGAAATAGAGACAATAAACCTCCTACTCAGGGTCATTGAAGAAGGAGAGAGAATTCCATAGCTTGCCAAGCAGGAGTACCCAGTGGTGTTCAGCCTTGGGACGACAATAATTATATCCAGGAAACCGCTAATTACAATAAAATCGATTCAATAAATAACTATGGCACATGTTCTTTGCACAAATAAACTCTCCCCAGTTTAACTTTACATCTCTTTTTCATGTGCTTTTATGAATTTTATGTGTTTAATGATTATATGTTCTGGTGACATCGTTTCTATTGCTAATGGGCAGCTGGCTCTGAAAAGGGATGTTTTCCAAGAACCAATATAGCTTTACTGGGATGTTTCATAATCAAGTCACACCAACCATATTGTAGTGTCATACTAACTACTAAAATTTGAAATTGTATTTCTCTCATTCAGATCCCTCACTGCAGTCTTTTTTTTTCCTTTCATTTTTAGAGTTAGTGTTGAAAGTATAAATCGATCATGCCTGTCTCAAGTTGAATGCATATACTTTCTTTAGTTAAACTCCTTGTTTTTGATGTCATCTTCTCCACTTTCACAATATTAATGACTTATTACCTCAAGTTACTTTCTTTATTTTTCATCCTATGGTTTCACATTCTAAAAGAAGGCCTTCCTGTTTCAAGATCCTTAAAAGACAAAGTGTCCACCTTGATATCATCAACTTGTATCTTATCCAAATGCATTTGCTTGTTTTACATTTAAACAACATGTAATCTTAGGACATCACCAAGCTTTCAACATGCCACATAGAGGAAGGCCTTGGTCTTTATCACTTGGGGTATGAGTTTATTAATAGTAAAGTTAAATAGAGGTTATATAATAAATGTGAAAGTAATGTCAAAACATAACTAAGCTAAAAAGTATTTTATCAGTAAAGTATAGCGGCTTTCCACTGATATTTACATTTTAATGAGGAAAAAATTTCATGATTTATAATTTGAAAGGAACATATATGGAATGAATAACTTCCATATTACTTGAGAGTAGACTATTAAGTCACTAGCCTTGTGATGTAAATCAAATGACATTCTTATTTATATTAATTTTCAGACTTCCTTGGGCTTTCTTCATGATTTGTTCCAGTTAAAGGGAAGAATGACAGTCTCTTACTACCTTTGTTCATTTAGCCAGATCTAAAATGAAAACCTTATCTTTAGTTAGAATTTGTCAACTTGAGATGTCAATGACATTTCTGGATTGATTAGGCTTTGTGATTTTAATTTCATTCTCCCCTCTTTTCTGTTACCTGATATAATAATGCCAAAAGCCAAGGAATATGTGTTTGAGTAGATTGCAAATATTTATATAAACATAATTAATATAAATGTTATATTAAGACTAAACGTGCATATTTATTTATATACATATATTTATACATATTATATACATATATGTATTCATACACACATACATGTTCTCTTACATGTGTGTGT